TAAATTCTGTTACCAGCCGAGAAACAGAGTAGCCACGTTCATGTTTTTCTATTAAGTCTAATTTTCTGCTCAATGGATAAAAAAAAAAACTCTTCTTCCTCTTGGTAGATATGGCACTACTGTATTAGCAAGCCTTTGAGACATCTTGTTGTATAACAGTACAGCTGTAGTAAAAAAAATGGTAAATTCCATATCATCTTCCTCTGGCGGACAAATACGTCGCTCGCAGACAAAGCTAATGGCACGGTGTGCCTACTGTATGAATGCCCCGTGGACTGTCTATACAGTACCCTTCAGTAGGCTGGTGTTTAGGCCAGACTCGGTAACATAAATTTCTCTCTAATACTGTACAGTATTGGATATACATCATATTATATATTTTTGGGTTATGAATTTAATTTAGCAACACTATTAGTATAATAAGAACTATAAAAATACTTGCCTGTATTGTTGAAACTATATTAATTTTATTGTTTCGAGGCCGTAGGTCACTGAACTGTGAACTGTGACGCATCCGAAGGAAATGCACATGGTGCTGTGTGCACAGGGATTAGACCCGTCCACCCACGCTAGAGTTTTGAAAGATAGAGCCAATTACATCAATATGTTCTCAAATAGCGTAAATCTAGCATATAACGGTATATTTTTTGTTTTATATTTAGTTTAGAAATATAATTAGGATAATAGAAAGTTATTAAAACAGCTGTTTTAGAAAGGATTTATAATTCTTCCAACATATAGTTTACTATAATCATAAATTATGTAATATTTACATTCATCAATGTAATATATTCATCTAGATTTATTAAGTGAACTGTATTAATTTAATAATGAGTTGGATAATTCCACTTCCACACCTTTTGGGGGGGTAGAACTAATACTGCTAGATATACCAAATGAACATAATAGGTTGCATAATTTCAATAATAAAATGTATCAATAAATAAGGGTTATGGAGTTAGTAAACTAACTACAATATCATAAATAATCATCAGCTTAGCTGTTAAGCAGGTAATGAGAAGTGCGTCTGACAGGCGTCGGAAATCAGTATAATCCTGTCTCAACATGATGGCGTTGTAGACTCGTGATTCACCAGTCAAGATGACCCTCTCTCGTAGATATAACTCCGCGCTGTGAAAAACATACAATGTAATTTTTATTGAGCTACAGTTATATCCACTTATGCCATTGAAGGAATCAACCAATTCCTGGAATTAAACTTAGTAGGTTTATTTGATAATCCTACGTCCTAATGATCGGGAATCTATCACTGTCATTATGGCCATAAAGAATGATTAGAGTACTTATCCGACCGGATGTGGTGTCTTCAATATTAGATGAAGCAGGCAGCAACATCTGGGACTTGTTAATGCACGGATGATCCCTATTTTTTACGATGCTAAATAGCGAGCTTCTCGGGACACCGATCAAGATGGCTCCAACCGAGCAGAGTGACATGCATGCCATCTAGCTTCCTATTGGTGCATAATCTCGTCATACAAGTCATGATATTTTACCTGTCTTGCTATTTAATAAGACATTACCGACGTTTTTTTACATTGTAATAAGGTACTTCAGGCATCAACAGATGGTTTTCCGTTGCTTTATATTATTGAACCAAAGTGTCATTGGATAAAAAACACGTGTATATAATATTCAGTTCGTGACTTTTATTCAGCCGGAATCGGCTGATCGCGGCCGTAGGAAATTCTACCTAAAAACGGAAGTATCATTTGTTTAAATGAATTAAATAGATTTACAATCTAAATTACGTAGTAAATTAAACAAAGGTTTGACTGGGTTTAATTCAATTTATATAGTTTGTTCTCATGGGAACTGGACGGCTGATGGTACAGCGGCTATGGATTGTAGGAAGTATTTGCCAACACGACGCCACTTGTTAGTAATGTTAGTAAATTTGATTTCCTAGGACAATAAATTTATCTCATCGTACTAGTGGTTAGTATTTGGGGTGTCAGAAATTTCCGACTGTGGACCACTTTGGCTAGTGTTTGGTTAATATGGTTCACTTGTTGTGTGGTCCACTTGTGTGATCCAATGTGTCATATGAAGGAATTATTAATTGTAATCTGTAATATAGTGGGAAGGTTTTCCACCAGTCTGTGAACTCTGTCCCAACTTCGTAAGCAAATTCACACGTCCCTCTTCAGTAAACCAGAGTTCATCGAAGCGGGTGAGTAAATCTGGCTTGAAAAGTGTGCGTCCTAACTGGAAATTCGCCGAACCGAGGTTGCACTGTATGTTTGTTAATGAAACCCGTGTGCTGCAACCCATGGTAGTGATGTGTGAAGTGTTTACTTGTAAGTGACTTACATCTCTGTGACTACAGGGAAAGGATTTAGCACTTTGTCCTGCCTCCTATTTATTTGTATCTAATACAATAATTATCACTCAACATTAATGTTTTCATTTTATTTTTTCTTCATTATATTTTTTCAAAAAGTGTGGGTGGAATTAGTTTCAGTAACCTCTTTCTTCAGTACTCGCCTAATTGTGCTTGTGGGGGTTGAGCTTTGTCTCTTTGATTCCGCCTCTCAACTGTCAATCAACTGGTGACAGTTGGCGCTGGTGTTCAGTGCAATCCACTTGCTGTCGTCCACGTGTACAAGGAACAAGAGCTTCTTCATATCTCTGACTCATTTGTGTGTTCAGCTGTCCCCCTTGTCCTCCTACCTCCTTTTTAAATTATTTTGGCTTCCTTTGTCCACTTTGTTTATTCCCTTCAGAATCTTGTTTGTAGTGATATCACCTTTGTTTATTTTCTCCCCCTAACCCTTCCACTGCTAAGGGGTCCTGAGGACATTTACACCACTGCGCAAGAAAAAAAAAAAATATAAAAAATTATTTCGTCTTCTAAAAATGTTAATTTGTGATCCCTAAGCACGGGAAAAAAAAAATCGTATGTGACGTACTTATTTCGGGTGCAATTGACCGAGAAAGTCTGGCAAAAAGTGGGCATTGACAGAGCGGTCGTCAGAGCCGGTCAGCGTCACCCGCGCTGACAAGTGGGAGTTGCCACAAAGATATTATCAATTAATTATTTCAATGTCTCTGATTGATTTTTTCTTAGTTTTTTACAGTAATATTATTCAATAGTGTGTATTGTAATATATTTATATAATAAAAAGTGGTGAATAATTGATATACTCAAAAGTATGGTGTGCATATTAGTGATTCAACTATGTTCATAAAACAATAAACAAATAGTTTTTTCTGCTATTACACTCTGTACACATGTTACATACTGTATAAGTATCTGCATGTGTTGTTCACCATAGCGTGTCATGCGCATGTGCCGCGGGGTTTGTTTTGGTCTGGGCAGTGTTTCAGTGCTGGTGTTGTGCGCCCTTTTTTCTCGGGTGTTTCGCCTTTCGCTCTTCTCCCTTCTCCGGTATGTACTCCTTCGCTCCGGGGTTGTCCTGGATTCCAGCTGTGGGGAGGACACCGAGGTTTTCCCTGTGTCATGAGTGTGGGCCTCCTCCTTCGCCTCTACCCCTGCTCTCCTGCGTGTCCGGCTCTGGCTTCTTCACCTGGCGGTGCTCCCAGGATCTTCTGGGCACTGTTGGGTCATGTCACGTTCGTGCCTCTGTTTATGGGTTGTGGTGCTGGTTATGTACTCACCTGGTAGGGCTCTCCTGGTTGTGCTTGCGGGGTTTGAGCTCTGGCTCTTGGGTCCCGCCTATATGGAAGAACATGCGGGATAGTACCAGTGGAGTGCAGTGGTGCCATAGGCACAATCAGGGAACAGTGTATAAACATCAGAGGTCTGCAGTTGTTACACGTCCTACCTGCGAGCTTCCGCCATATTGCCGGTACATCCGTGGACTTCCAAGGAACACTAACCTGTTTTCGAATAGAGGTTCTGGCCCATCCTGCCTGTGGTGGGTATGTGGGCCTGCAGGCCGCTCCACGCAACAGCCTGGTGGACTAACCTCTCACATGTCAAGCCTAGCCTCGGGCCGGGCTTGGAGAGTAAAAGAACTCCCTGAACCCCATCCAGAAGGTATCGAGCAGGTATCTCCGCCGTCGGTCGCCAGGTGTCCAGGTTCCTGGGCCTGCTGGGTTCTGTCATGTCTCCGTTGGCCCTGTCTGGGGTCTGCCTGCACCATTCTCTGCCTTTGCAGAGGCAAGTTGCTACTTAAATGTTGCGTGTTGCGGTGGTGCCTGTTGCTGCTGCACGTGTGCATTGGTGGCGTGTCCTTGTTCCTGTGTCTGGTTGTGGTGTGGCACTTTGTTGCTGTTTTGTGCCTAGGGTTTGCATCTGGGGGTTTGCTTGTTATTTTTCGCGGTCTTCAGGTCCCTGGCTTGGCCCTTCCATGTGCATGGAGTTCTGTCCCTGCCTGATTGTCTACCCCCCTGGTTGTTTCCTGGGGTTTGAGCTTTGGCTCTTTCGTCCTGCTTTCCCCAGTTGCTTCCCTGGCATCTCAGTTGGTTGGTTTTGCCTGCACTTGCTGGTATAGGGGGGGGGGAGGTTTCTCCCGCTTCCCTTCCTTATGCGTTCCCTTTGTTTCCTCCTCTGCCACAGGGGTGTTCTTTGTGCGTTCCTTGGCTTCTTGGGTGTTATTTCAGCCTGTGTCTTATGGCGCGCTTATGTGTCTTGGTCTGTTTTCGTTGCTCGTACCCCTTGGTTCGGGTACTGTTCTGGTGGTAACCTTTACGCCGCCTTTGGTTTTCTTGGCTTGCCCTGCCGGTTGGCTTTTCAGGGTCTTGCGATGTCTCACGTCAAACCCGTTGTTTCTGATCTCCTGGTGGGCTTGCCTGCATTGGGGAAGCTTTCTGTTTGGCAGACGTTCCATCTCCTTTGTGCCGCCTGGGCTTTGGTGGTCGCGCCCGAGATCTTCCCGCGACTCCGCCTTTTCCTGGGCTCGGAGGTGCCTTGTCGGGGCTGCTTATATTCTGCCTCGCATGTCTCACCTCTGGTTGGTGGTCTGGTGGCTTCATGGTAGTGTCCCACCTGAGTACTTCTTCTTGGCGGCAGTATGGGGTATTTTGGCGGTCATTCCTTTTCCTCCTGTCCCTTCTTAGGTGGCTGCAGTTGTTAGCATCGGCTTGGTTTTTCTGGTAGGTGTTGGGTGCCGTCGTCTTGCCATGTACTGTAGCCTCGTTTCGTGCTGCGCTGGCTGAGCCGCTTCGTCTTGCTTTCGGTCTTGGTGTTGCTTCTGCACCGTTCGTAAGCTGTCTCGTGCATTGTTTCATCTCCTCCTCCGCAGGGGTTTTTCTGCTCCTTTGGTTTTGGCGTTTTGGTTGTTCGGTGGCGGCAGTCTCTATCTTTTATGGCACAAGATGGGGCTGCTGCGTTCCGGAGGGGTCCTCTGGTTGTTGGTGCTTGGTTGGTCGGGCCAGGGGTGTGTCGTATTTTGTGTTCAGTGGCGGCCCTCCTCTGTTATTTGCGTGCCACGGCCTTTCTGTCCGGGGCGCGCTTTGCATTGATTTGGTTCCGTTCTTCCCTGATATTAACATTTTGTTATTATCAGGGCAAGCATTTTGATATTAACTTTACCTGAACATTTATAAAAACAACAAAAGTATGTCCTTAACAATTGAACTATGAAATTTCTGCCAAAAACAGGTGTGCAGTGCAGGGGTTAATGAGCTTATGTTCTGAACTGAATATTTGTTTTTCTTCTTCTAGATACCCAGACAAGACGGTGGAGCAAGTTAATATACTGGCTCGTGATATTGGCATAGATTACAAGGAAAAGAAGAAGAACAAGCTGAAGCGCACATTTGTTAAAGCATCAGACGCTGCTGGGGCTAGATACAAAGGTATTAAAACTCAGTAATAGATTTTGTATTGCATAAAGTAAGGAAACATTGATTAGACAACAAACAAAGGATGCTGTGTCCAGAGGATTTGTGGACTTTATGAAAGAACTAATATTTGCATTTTCCAACTTGTTCTTGCCAATCATATTTGTTGTGCCAAGGAGGAGATCCAAGTATTTTTTATGGAACTTTTTAAGACTATGAATTATTCACAAGCATTTACCTTCTTTGCCTTTATAAATTAATAATGATACTCTCATTTTATATTGTAGATAATGGATATACATTACCATTGTTTCTGACCTTCTGGTATCATACACATGATATATAACATTGTGGGAAGCTTTGAGGGTATGTTTATGGTTAGGAAGAGGACTATGAAGGATAGCATAGTAGCAACAGATTATGTAGTTCACTCGAGGTTGTTATCTTACTGAATAAGATAGCAGTTTATATCAGTTATCAGTTTATCAGCAACAGTTTATTTAGTTCACTCGAGGCTGTTATCTTATTGGATAAGATTTATTGTTTATATACATTTATCAGTTTATCAGCAACAGTTTATGTAGTTCACTCAAGGCTGTTACCATATTGGCCGAGATTGTTGGAAAGAGGATGTATATTGTATGGATTCTTCAGTTGCAGATGGCTAAAATGGGGAAACACGTGAAGATATTTATCATAATATTCTCTTGAGAGCAGGTGTGCGCAAACAGCAACTTATGAAGCATTAATTGTGGCCTTACACTAATTTAATATTAACACTGCATATGGGCCACACTGGATGACTGTGAGCCACATACAGTCCTGGGGCTGTGTTTGCTCACTCATAATATACAGTAAGGACATATTGATTAATTCACTATATTTTTTTGTTTAGGAATATACAGTATGTCTTTTTCAATAATCAGTTGACTTGCAATACAGTATATTTATGTGACTTACACTCTGAAGTTAAAGCACATAGCCATACCTTGGATTTTACAATTGTGCACGTGGGATACTTTGACTGAGAGCAATACATTTTGAGCTAAGCAGATACAGTACTGTATTTAAAATACAGTTTTACAATCATTTCTAGATATTGTGGGCAGCGTTTTCTTGATATAATTTGCTTAGTGTTCATAAACAGTAGTTACAGTGCTATATTATAACTAATACAATGTTCATAATAATTATAATAACTGTGTAATGATAAATTTTAGTAAATAAAATAATTAATTGCACGGTGCTTATGCACAATATTTCAGGTGACTCTAATATTAATACTGTAAATACATAAATTAAGAGCTATATTATTTGGTGGTAAATAATGTGAGGATGATAATAATGTATCTGGTTAAGCATCATAAAAAGTTTTGCAACTTTCAGTGTGCCATTTCTCAATCCCCAAAACATTTTTCAGGTGATATATATTTTTTGTGTAGCTTAATGTATGCATTTACATTAAGTGTTAGTATAGTTAAATTAATGAATGGCAGAAGTGTTTTGATAGAATACGGTGACTGCATTTGTCTCCGATTGCAATTGCACGCCCACCGACACCACACCCAACATGCCGACAAAAATGCCCAAACTAGTTAAGATATTGCAGTCATTTTCATGTATGTTTAAGCTGAAAATAGTAAGATAATAATAAGAGAAATAATAAATTCTACGTACAAGACATTCATCGTAATCGAACAGATTGTTGGCACCTGTCTGATCTTCCCAGAGTTTCAGCGTGTGCAGCTTCTTCTTTGACAAGAAGCTTTGGCAGTTTGGGGTGTGGTGGGTGTGCAAGTGTGACAGGAGGGCGGCATGCAAGTCTTTGTCCTTTAGCAAAATACGGTGCTTGTGAAAGATTGAATTTTGATGGCACGAATCTGCCATTTGCATCAAATAATTGAGGCAAAATTTTGGTTGGGGTGGTGCTTCACCAGGTATGTTGATGAATGTTTCATGTAGTATTGTGGTTACATAGTAAGGATGGTGCATACATAGTATGTGCTGGTTTGTAGTTTGAATTAAAACTTGTTTGGTAATTACAGGTAAATAGGAGATGAGAAGAGTTACACAAGTTTTGGGTTACTTAAGTTGTGTAGTCAATGGCTGAAGTGTGGCAGGGAAGAAGGTGTTAAACATAATTGATGCACAGTAAATTTGTTTGCAGGCTCAAAGCATCTCATGTTCTTAATTGAAATATAAATTTGAATGACCATTTGCTTGTTTCAGTAAATGCATACATACATAAAGACTTTCATTTCCCCTCATTTTATACATTTTGACCTCAGTGATTCATATTTTGTATTATGAAGAAGGTTCATGCTTATTCAGTTTCCAAAGTTTCTTTAGGGAAGAAGAGTAAATTGTGAGTGAAATAAGACTTACTTTTTTAGTTCTTTACGCTCATTAGACCTGTTCCTGTTTCTTCTTGTTGATTTACCCTTTACTTACTTGAACCTTAAGTAAGTTGGACATAATCACTACCTTGGGCTTTTCTGAGGGGGAGCCCCTTTGGTTCCCTGGAGCTGTCAGGCTGGTTGATATGTTATATTAGTCTGGGACATCACTATTGAAGTTCAGCTTATTGGGAACCACAAGCCAGAACCTGGCCTTCCCCTCAGAGAGGCAAAGGGAGCAATGGCCCATGGAAACCCCCTTGTATTTGGAGGCATTCCATGTCTGCCATCAGTTGGGGTTAGCCCCCAGAAAGATAGGCATAACAAAACAAACTCCACAAGGTAAGAAAATTGCAACCGACGACCGAACAGAAAAGCAGAACTCTCCTACTTAAAGAAACAAGCAAATGTCACACTCCACCGCTACGCCACTTGTCCGTGCAGCCCTCCCTACCCTGGGAGGTGTGGGGGAGCCCTGGACACCCCCCTGTGCTGGCTACTCAACAACACCAGTTCATTGGCTGATGTGGTCCTGGGCGAACATTGACTTTGGCCTCAGAGTCTAGGCAGTTGTGCCCCTTAGTGATGTGTTGTGCTTTATGTGAGGTGTGATTGTACACATTGCAGGGGTTTAGCTTTCACAGTTCCCCTTAGTTTGGGCCTAGCCGGTTTTGCAGTACCTTGCCTGGGCTTCCCGTAGCAGTCAGCCTGCGGGCCCTGGAAGTCCCCATTGGGGCTCATTAGACCATTGGATGTGTCTTCTGAGTTCCACCTCGCCTCGTGTAAGTTTGAAAGTTGCCGAGTGCCCTTATCTCGGGTTGACAGTCACCGTTTTTGTCTCCGTCATGCTGCCTGTTGGGTCGATGACATCTTTGACCCAGAGGCTTACGAGTCATGCTTCCTGCTTGTTCTCCAATTTACCCATTCTGATGACATTGATATTCGGGTACAGGCAGCATTCACGTTGCATGCTAGGTTGAGGTAGCTGCAAGCTGGTTGGTTGCCATCCTAGATGCCCCGTTTTGGTTATAGGGACCCAAACTTGGGAGCATTGGTTGCTTCGACTTTGGTTCCATCTATGCTCCCTTGTCCTTCCCCTGTTGTTCGTGACCCCCCCCTTCCCCCCCACCTCCCCCAACTGCTCCCGGCTTGGTAACGTCTGATAATGAAACTCGGGCTGCTTCAGTGGTTGCCCCTTCTGGGATTTGGGATGGAGGCATTTGAGCCTGCTCCTCCTGCCGAGGTTTCTGGGTTCTACCAGCTGACCCCCTTCTTTGCTGCCTTTCCCCTGGACCTCTGCTTTTTCTTCTGGGGTTGAGGGAGTGAAGGACGGCTCTACCCCGGGACCTCTGTAGGGGTTCAAGGAGCTGTGGGGGGGGGGGGCCTCGCTTGCAGTTATGGGGACTGTTTACCCCTGTTTGGGCTTTATGCCTTCTTGGCGTTTTTTTTTCTGTCCCTCCCGTCTGCTTTGTTTTCCCCCATTTGTTGGCATGATTTTGGCTCCCTTGCATCAGCCACATCACCTTTTGTTGTGGTGGCCATTTTCTTTCTGGAGGCGCTTCCTGCCTGGCTGCCATGGCGGCGCTGCAGTTTTTGTTTACATGTGCCTGGGATTGGGTGCACTCGTGTTTTGGCGGTGTTTTGCCCTTTCTGTTCCTTTGGGGATGTTTGGGTGTTGATTTTTTGCCCAATTTTGTTTTCTGTCGGTTCTGGGGCCCTGGCTTTTGGTCCCAGTGTTCGTGCCTGTTTGCTCTGCTTGCTCCCACAGCTTATGATCCCTGATTTTCTGCCTGTTTCTGGGTGTTTTGGCCAGGGTGTCTGTCTAGGTCTTTTGTTTGGCCCTTCCTTCTGTGGTGCATTTCCACTGGCAAATGTGGCAACCTGTCCTCTTAAAAAGAACGTCGCTTTTGGCCGTTTGCCCGTATGGCCGAATATGGACGTAATTTGAAAATGAAAAAAAAATGAATATAAATTTGGGATTTTTTTTTCAACAACAGTAAGTTAAGGGTCCTCTGATAGGTTAGGTGGGCAGGAAATTCTCATAAAGTTTCAAAACTGTATGAAAAACGTTAATGGAAAGAATCCTTTTCTAAGCTTGCCGAGTAAGCCGGACGACCCAAGCAGAAAACGGAACAGTACGTCACTTTTGTGAGTCGATTTCATTTCAAATTACGTCCAAATTTGGCCATAGCGCACATATGAGCGAAAAGTGACGTTATTTTTAAGAGGACGGGTTGAATGTGGTGGTTTGAGCTTCCCCCTCCCCTGGGGTTCTTATCCGGGCTCATTTGGGGTCTTTGGTTTCATTCCGGAGGTTTTTCTTCCTCTTGGGATCCCCCTTTAGTGGTTTGGGTGGCCCTTGGTGGTTACCTCCTGTGCGTCCCAGATTTGCCTCTTCTCAATTTTTGGGGTCTTTCTGGCTTGAAGACTGCACTTCTTGGGTCTTGGCTTCTGCTTGTCGTGTTGGGCCTTTGGTGCAGCTCTTGTGCCGGTGCCACCCCAGCAGCCATCTTCGTCTGATTGGCGCGGGGCTCGATCTGCTCGCAAATTGGCTTCTTGCTTTCTTTTAGTTTTGTTAATTTTTTCTCTTGTGGAGGGGGGGGGGGGTTGCCGGTCTCT